GTGGCACCTGTGTCACCTGGGGGTCACTTGGGACACCGGGGACACCTGGGTGTCACCTCTGTGTCACCTGGGACAACGGGGACACTAGCACGTGGCACCTGGGTGGCACCTGTGTGTCACCTGGGACACTGGGGACACCTGTCACCTGTCACCTGTGTCACCTGTGTTGTGTGTCACCTGTGTCACCTGGACACCTGAGTGTCCCCCTTGGTGTCACCAGACCTCTCAGTCCCCCTGGGGACACTGAGAGGTGGCGCTGTCCCCAGGCCATGTCAGTGGGACAGGAGGTGACACAGGGGACACTGAGGGGTGGCGCTGTCCCCAGGCCATGTCGGTGGGCCGGGAGGTGACACAGGGGACACTGAGGGGTGACGCTGTCCCCAGGCAGTGTCAGTGGGACAGGAGGTGACACAGGGGACACTGAGGGGTGGCGCTGTCCCCAGGCCACCTCGGTGGGCCGCGAGGGGACGCTGGCGCTGGTGGCCCGGGGCATGGCGGCGCTGACGTTCCGCGAGCTCTGTGTCCCCGATGACGTGGCCGAGCGCGGCGTTGGGGACATCCCCGGCTACCACTACAGGGACGACGCGCTGGACATCTGGGGCGCCATCCACAGGTGGGGACAGCGGGGACAGTGGGGATAGCGGGGACACGGGACATTGGGGACACTGGGGACAGCAGGGACAATGGGGACAGTGGGGACACTGGGGACAGCGGGGACAGCGGGGACATTGGGGACACTGGGGTGGAGACAGTGGAGACAGTGGGGACAGTGGGGACACTGGGGACAGGGACAGCAGGGACACGGGTCTGGGAACAATGTGGGTGGGGACAGTGAGGATGGGGACAAGGACCCCAGGGAGGTGACAACGGGAACAGGGCCACGGGGGTGGGACATCAGCGATGGTGGGGACGCGGGGACAGGGACACAGGTGTGTCACCGCTGTCCCCGGCGTCACCGGTGTCCCCGCGGTGTCCCAGCTACGTGGAGGGCATCGTGGCGCTTTTCTACGCCGAGGACGCGGAGGTGGCCGAGGATGAGGAGCTGCAGGAGTGGGTGGGCGAGATCTTCACCTACGGCGTCCTGGGCAACCAGAAGAGCGGTAGGGGACACCGGGGGTGGCAGGGACAGCCGGGGGGGACACGGGGACGTGGCGGTGATGGGTGGTGGCCGTGGTCGTGGTGGTGGTTGTGGTCATGGCATGGTCGTGGTCGTGGTCATGGCATGGTCATGGTTATGGT